TACTAGGAATGATTTTTTAAAGTAAAAATATAATTTTCGTTAAAAATGAACAATACCAAAAATGTTTCATTAAAATTCATAATATTTTCATATTCGGATTAGGGTTAGGGTTTGTTGTGGTGCATCAGTGCATGCTTACGTCAACAAACTTTACGTTTTGTAGCATTTGGTGGCCGGGCAAGCCAAACCACTCGTGTAGGGGTCCCTAGCTAGCTATATTTCCTAATGTTGAGGGCTGATGTCTCCCTAGTGCTTATTTATGTTGAGTGCTTTTCAGTCTGTTTCTCTGGATGTGTCTTTTCTTGCTGCAAACCCTAGTTATATTTGATTGGCTACTCTCACCATCTGCCTTAGGACGTACTCATAATTTTAAATTGAAAAAACTTAAGCGTGATACCTAACGACGAATTAGATTCTTTTTTCCAACACTCCATATACATACATGCCAAGTCTTCGTTGTGAAGGGAAGGGGATCATTGGGATGGACACTAGTCACACTACTCAACTCAACTCTCTGAATGGTATACATTGGACCTATTGGTAGGGTCAGTAATGGATTATGAGCTGGAAAATAATACTTTTCATATTGGCTATCATGCATGATGCATCATCAACCCGAAGTGATTTATGTCGACCTCTTTTTCAACCCCTGCACTCTTTCATTTATTGACTTGTTTCGATATGATGACTTTATATAAAATAAAAAATTGAGGAGATTATAGTATTTTTATTGGTCGAAAGAGGAGATTATAGTATGTAGTAAAGAAGAGTGCACAAATCACTTCTCGTCTTCGTATGTGTGTGTGTGGGGTGTGCTGTGGACAGCATGCATGGAGAGTTTGAATAAAATAACAAAGTACAAGTATACAAGAAAGGTTTCTTGCCTCTTTGGATATATAATTGCCTGATAAGCGAAGTGCTCAAATTTGGAGTCATTTGGTTGAAGAATACATGTCAAAACATGACATACGTGATAAAAGAAAACATGACCATTTTAGACTTTTAGTTGCAGCAAAACACTGTTAGGAGAAAGTGGGGAATGACCCAGTTTTAGTCTTCATATTGTTTTGTCCATAATTCCACTACCTAATCGCTTTTCTCTCACATATATAAGAAAGATAAAGACTTCTTAGTAAAATATTACATGCCTAATAAGTAATAATTAACGACTAATCAATAATATAAAAATATTTTTTAATATCTAACCGCTCGTTTGGAAGCGTTTTGAAAGTATATTTGGTGAAAATATTTTTGGAATCAATCCTTAGTAAAAACGGAAGTGAATCTTAAAAAACACTTGAAATACTTCATGCAAGAAGCACATAAGAAGCATCAATATTATGTGTTTATTTTAAAAAGTAATTCAAGTGCTTTTATAATTCAAAAACATTTTCTCCCAAAATACTTTCAATCATTTTGAAGTACTTTCAAATGTGCGCTAGATTTTTTTTCTGTCCATGGGTTGACTGTGTGATGCTCCCAAGCTAATGGGGTGAAGATGATTAGCTAGGTTACTGTAATTTTATTGATTTCCTTTTACAATTCGAATTCTCATTGCGTGAATATAGTTGTAGATCGTTGCAGTCATCGTTATAAGCTATTGGATCATCTTGAATGCACTCATTGTGAATTCATATTATAAACAAACACGATCTTTAGTGGTTCAAATAATAGAATTAAAAATAAGTAAAATGTGACGCAGAAAAGTAAATAATTGAGCTATATAAAACACAGAAATTAGTATTTGCATAACTTTAGTTTTAATGGTGAATCCACCTGTCTTACTCTTAGATAAATGATTTTTACACCTCAATTTTTTGTTCTATACATTTCTTTTTATTTTTGGCAATTGAACAATTAAAAGAGAATTAAGGAACAAAAATTAAAAGAAGTGTGTAGAAAACAAAAATGAATGTTTGAAAATCGTTTATCTATTCTTTCTTGCTATTTACGGTTATAAAAAAAATTCAAGGATATATATTTTTTAGAATAAGCAATATTCTATACTAATCTACATTAAGGGGAAGAGAGAGAACTAGAAGTCCAAAAACAACCAAGATGAAGATGAAGACCCTAATCACTAGGGCAACCTACCGCCTGAACATTATATTTAAATAAGTTAAAACATACAAATTATAGCTAGTTGTTGACTAATTAATATATATTACAGATTATATATCATTTGAGTAATATGAGGAGGAGGAGGAGGAGGAGGAGATGATGATGCCATCATGCCAGCAATCTACCCCTTGAACATTATATTTAAATAAGTTAAAACATACAAATTATAGCTAGTTGTTGACTAATTAATATATATATTACAGATTATATATCATTTGAGTAATATGAGGAGGAGGAGGAGGTGATGCCATCATGCCATCTTGATCAAGTGGATGTCTATCAGACACCACCTAGACCAAGAACATACCTCCAAATTAATAAGTCGATAGATTGAATGATTAATATTTGATAATGCGAAAGAACAAGGGTCATTACGAAGTAAACATTTGTTATTAAACAAGTAAACGGATCATTTTGACGTTTGACATTCTTCCTGATCACTTTCACTTTCATGCATGCATACCACAAGAATATTTTTGTTCGCCACCTTCAAGCGATGATGATGTTCATCATCTTATTAATCATTGTTAGATGAGTTTTAATTTCAAGATATGTGTGACAACTCTCAAAATTTAAGCTCATCTAATTGCAATAAAAAAGATGATAAGCAAAAATACACCCACATGTAACTACCTTAACATATATTCTTTATCTTATACTATTTGTCGTCAATTTATAGAGCTCTCCTTCACCTAAGAACAATTAAATTGTTCATTTTTTCAGTAGAAAAATTATTTTCACACACCTATGAGTAATTATTATATTATATTTTATTCTATTCTTAGTTATATTTTATATTTGGCTTTTTTAGAGAATTTTGATACTTTTTTTTTGTGTTCGATTGTAGGATAAGAGGAATACACTTTTCCTCAAAAAAGTGACGAAACAAAGGAATTTGGAGTGATTTCAATTGGAACTGATTTCTAAGGAAGTGAAGTTGATCGTGTTAAATTTTCAGCCCTTAATTCTTAACCGTTTGATCGTGACAATTAAATGAAGACAAATGCAATATGTTGGCAGATTAACATTTTGAGCTTGCATGGGCCATAAGTTATTGACGTTTTTGTGAAAAATTTCCTTCTACAACATTGATGAGGACTTCTTATTTTTTCCATTGACATCTTTTTGGGCATTTTATATGCTGTCCTGGCCAGTCAACGGAATGAATCTTCATAGAATTGAAGTTTTAATCAGAATAGGAATGTAATTATAAGATATATTATTTTATTTGATTTTTCAGATTTATTATGAGACCTAATTTAGACAAGATACTGATTTCCTAAGTTTTTATATGTAGAAGAGCCTCGCTTTGGGGTTGAGGACGTGTTTTGGATATTTAGAATATTCCCTCTTACCTTAGTATAAAAATATCGATATATTCAAAAAAACATTATGATTATGTTTAAATAATTCTCTTTTTGCCTTAACATGACTATGTAGTTTATTTTCAATTTACTTATAATGTTAAATTGGTTAATGCTCCTTATGGTTAGAAATTGTAAGTTCACTTAAGACAAATATCACGCTCTTATGAATTGCATGCTTTTTAAAAAGGTTTTCTCTCTATATGCTTTTTCCTATTTATGACTTTTATATTAGATAAATAAATCAAAAGAGATTAAAAGACGAAATTAGCACGAGTGTGTAAATATAAAAATAACAATAATGTGTAGAAATCATTTTATTTTTAAATAGAATGATGCTAATCCTTCTAAAGACATGACCACGTGGAACTTCAAATCTTTCATGCCAATACTATTTTCTTTGTAAAGAATATAGTGAGCGCAAGTTGAAATGAATTATTTCGTTGTTTGTAGGGCAATGATCAACTAAAGTACAAGCATTATTGGCCATGAAAACATAAATAATATTAGGAAAATAGGGATGGGTCCCATCCCTCCAGAGTGGGTCTTGGGCCCTCACCTCAACTTCAAACCCGATCATCAACTCGTGAATGATGGGCTTCACACTTTGTACGTGCCATGATACAGCCAAAAAGGGAAACACTTACGTCATTTTCAACCGAAGGGTTTAAAGGATCAGAAAATCGAAAATAGTTCGAAAATCATCTCCAACCTAGGATCAGACCAAAAAGCTCGTAGGCTCCACTGGACAAAAAATGGCCAAAGGGCCAACTAGCAAGCCCAAAGGAGCTAGCCAGCCAGCCGACCTGAGGCGGGGCCAGAATTTGAGAACCAACGGTAACTAGCTGAAGTCAACTAACCGTTATTTATTATTATTATTATTATTTTACAGTTTTTTTTTTTTTCAAAATTTGTTTTAAAAATTGTAAAAATTCTTTTTTTTTCCCTTTATAACTTCTTAAACCATTAAACATTACATAACATTAAGTAACATTAAACAATATTAAACAACATTAAACAACATTAAATAACGTTAAACAACATAAAAATTAAACATTTAACAACATGAAACTTAAATAACATTTTTAAAAACATTTAACAATATAAAACTTAAACACCTACTCCATGCTTTTTATGGCCCAAAGATGTGCAACAAGATCCTGTTGTAGGTAATTGTTTGTGGCATGGGAACGTATCATTCTATAGCGCCTCATATACTCATTTAAAGAGATACTATCAGTTATTTGATTGAAAGCATCATATATATTTTGCATGAGCCTTTCTTAACCTATTTGGATCGTATTGGTCATCATCGGACTCTCCATCAATATACCCATCTCACTCATCCTCCACAATCATGTTGTGTAATACGATGCAAGACATCATGATGGAGTCCAAATTTTCTCGACTCCACCCTCTTGCTGGTTCACTGATGATCTTCCACCGTGCTTGTAAAATACCAAAAGCTCTCTCAACATCTTTCCGGTATGCCTCTTGGTGTAAGGTAACCAGCTTTTAGGCGTCATTCGCAGGGTTTGGAATTGCTTGGACAAGTGTCGCCCTCTTTAGGTAGATGTCATATGCTAAGTAATACCTCATATTGTACTGACAATCGTTGATGTAGTAGTCAAGTTGAGGTGCTTTACCTTCCGTCAAGCTATTGAAGATGGGTGAACACCCAAGAACTGTAATGTCATTTTAGGATCCAGGGACTTTAAAGAAAGTATGTCAGATCTATGTGTCATACGAGGTAACCACCTTTAACACAATAGTTGACTTTCTTAACCTTCTACTGAAGCCTTCTTGCCATCCGGTGGGACAATTCTTCCAATCCCAATGTATGCAGTCTAATGACCCTATTATGCCTGGAAACCCACGGTCTTCAGCTTTACGAATGAGCCGATCCAGATCTTCTTGATTTGGCTCGTAGAGGTATTCATCTTTAACAATTGTGTCACAGAATTCAGCAAGAGTATCAAGGCATGTAGACTCAGACATACCGTGGGCTTCATCCATCGAATCAACTAGGGAGCCATAGGCCATCATTCAGAATGCAACAATAACCTTTTGATGATGTGAGAAACTATGGTGGCTTGCTATGTCATGCTTCTGTCGAAAGTATGGATTGACATGTTGGACATCACGAAGTAAACGCTCGAAGACATGACGCCTCATCTGGAAGCGACGTCTAAAATCCTCTTCTGTGTACACCGTGTTAGGGTTGAAGTAGTTGTTCATCAGATTGGCATGGGTCATCGCTCTGTTTTATGGTTTGTAAGAACGACCAGCAACAGAGCCACCCCATTAAGGTTGTTACTCAGTTGACTGACACATGATGCGAGAATTAAACGCACACAAATTAAACCCTCTTGTGACAATTGTAGTATAGATATAAGTAGGGATCGTTCTGGACCGGGGATTAGGAGGGATTGTTAATCACTTGGATTTGACTCAAAAACGTAAAAACAAAGTTAAAAACGTTCACAAAGACTCAAAGGACTCAAAACTGCCTAAAAACACTAACTAGGCAGTTTCTGACCTTAAACCCAATGTTGGACGAATTTAAGATTATGGTTTGATTCAAACGTAAAAACACAATATAAAACACTATACTAGACTCAAAGAATGCAAAACTAAACTTTAAAATACTAAAACAAACCAAAAGACTCAAACATCACCCAAAACACTCAAAACTGCCTTAAAATCACTTTCTGGGCAGTTTTGAGCACTTTGGTGAATTTGGACGAATTTGTGTAACAAGTTGAATCAAAACTCTTATAAACACAAACTAAGACACTTTCTAACTAAATTAGACAATAAAATAAAGGGGGATTGAGTTTTGGACGAAATTAAATTAAATGTACAGATTCAAATTAAAACAGATAGTAAAGATGAAATTGATGGAATTGAATGGATGGGAACCTAGCTAAGGGGTTCATCTCCATACATGTTATACTTGCATAATAAAATGATTTCCAATTGTATTTCAATAAACCATGAAACTCTCAACACCCCAAGTTAACCGTGATGCACTAATTAACCTTCAAATCTTCCTAACGTTATTGAATTGGATGGGTTAGCGCATACGACAATTCAAAACATTCCCCACAAGTCCCCTACATGAATGCATAATAGAGATACAAGCAAGAATCATTATGCTCTATGAAAATTATAAGTGTTGACGAGGCATTCGTTACTATGGAATACGCATGAAACTTATGCCAAGAATTCGTTTAACGCGATTGTTTATAAGCAACCTCCACTACTTGTGAATGTAAGTTCGTAACTATTAGGTGAAACTCACTTATATTCTAGCGTCATATTCATGCATGAAAATTAAGCGTGCACTCTCAATAAGCATACATAAAGAAGTTTTCAATCAAACAGTTAAACAAATTGAATCCACAACTTATGAAACGCAATTAGAAGTAATCAAATTAAAATGCAAGCATAAACATATATTTCGAATCACCCCCTAACCAAGGGGGCTTTAGTTCCTCATAACTTTGAAATCAAAGAAACACCTAAACATTCCAACAACTCAAACTTGAATTGTATGAACGTTTAGGCACTCTTCTCTTCCATTCCTCATACGTACAAAACAAAGAGAATTGAATTTAAACATTGAAATCAAAGAAACACCTAAACATTCCAACAACTCAAACTTGAATTGTATGAACGTTTAGGCACTCTTCTCTTCCTCGTTGTTGTAGCACAAGGTCTAAGGTGAGGTTTGATGGTGTGAATGGTTTGGGGAGTGGTGTTTATGGAAGGATGGTGTTTGGATTGTAAGGGAAAGGCACGGCAAGGGTGTTGTGGTTTGATGTCTACATTCTGAAAATGGAAGAGTTTGTGACTGAAATGCGTATGAATGAGAATGAATATGGAAGAGTGTATTGTGTTGTGAATGGAATGCCTGAATTGTGGCTGCAATGGATGCTTATTTATAGGTGAAATGGGGGGAACATGACAGCTAGGAACTTGGTGGAAATCTGGAATGGTGATGGGAGATGCATGTGGCTGATTTATGCATGTGATTAAAGGGTGGAAATGCATGTCCAATGAATATGTGGCTGCATGTGTAAGGGGACAATCTGGAAATGAAGGTGAATGTGCTGATTTGTGGTGCAATGATGAAAGGCAAAGTGCATGTGCAGAAATGATAAAGGGGGAAATGCATGTGGCTGCAATGGTAAAGGATGGGAGTGCATGTGCAATGTTTTAATGAATTGGGAAAGCATGTGCAAAAGGGGAATGCATGTGGCTGCAAGGTATGAATGATTATGAGTATGATAAGTGATAAGTGTATGGTTATGATAAGTGATAAGTGGTTATGATAAGTGATATGATATGTGGTGATGATAAGTGATAAGTGTATGGTTATGATGAGTGATAAGTGATAAGTGTATGATAAGTGATAAGTGATAAATGTATGATATGTGGTGATGATAAATAATGGGAAAACATGTGGATTAGGTTGTGAAAGCATGTGAATGCATGTGTTGATGAATGGGATTGTGGAGATGCACGGCATAAGGGAATTGGAAAGGTTTAAATGTCCTAAAACTAAAGGGAACAAGGTTCCAACACTTTGGTCTTCAATTAGGTCTTCAATTTCGTCCAACACTTTGGCTCCAAGCATAAGCTATCCATCCTTAGCCCAAAAGTGCTCCAAAAGTCTCCAAAATGCATCTTTTTGCTCCTTTAGCCCTTTGGACCTACAAACACACGAAAATAGCTTAAAGTACTAAAATAACTAAAGAAACATAATGTAAATGCACGAGAACAAGCCATTTAAGTCGCATGAATATGCTCCTATCAACACACCATGGCTGCAGCCATGACTGCCACATATTGTGTGTTTCGTCTCATTTGCACCCATTTTTCTTCCCATTTGGAATTGGGTGATGACCCCCAGTTGGAATCTGAAGAGGATCCAAAGTTGGAATTCATTGCAAACTTGAATTGAAATAGATTGAATTCAAAGGTGTGTGAATTATAGCCCAATATCCACCCTATTTGTAGCCCAAAAAAATTCAAATCTAACGGCTAACTGAAGTCATGTTCACGTCACTTAGCCGTTGGATTTGAATTTAAGTTATAGTTTTTAAATAATAAATTATGTTTGGCCCTTGGTTGGAGATAGTAAGAAATATGACCTTGTACTGTTCATTAAAATATTAATTTCTTGGAGGGTCAGATGGCTAAAACAAGTCATCTGGCCAACTTTCGGTTGGAGATGGCCTTAATAACCGAAACAGTTAAATATAGAGATGTCCAGAATTATAGTATTGTAAGAAATTATTTTAAAATAAACAGTGTTAGGCTATATTCATATACCATCTCTAATAAAATGGATATAGTTTCCTCAATAATTTATTAGTTTTAAGTTTATATTTTAAATTTATTGGTTAGTTTAATTAAATTATTGTTGGTGGTTTTCAAATCTAGCTGTCATTGTTCTAAAAAATCCTGTCTAGCCTTGGTGGCTGGCCACCGCCCCCGATTAACGCCTAGGTGTGACATCCCACATAGTCCAGGGGAGTGATCCTTATATGTATATTCTCATCTCTACCTAGCACGAGGCCTTTTGGGAGCTCACTGGCTTCGGGTTCCGTAGGAACTCCGAAGTTAAGCGAGAAGGGGGCTAGAGCAATCCCATGATGGGTGACCCACTGGGAAGTTGCTCGTGAGTTCCCAAAAACAAAACCGTGAGGGAATGGTAAGCCCAAAGCGGACAATATCGTGCTACGGTGGTGGAGCGGGCCCGGGAAGTGATCCGTCCCGGGCCGGGATGTGACAAATTGGTATCAGAGCCTAACCCTGGCTGCGTGTGTGCCGACGAGGACGTCGGGCCCCTAAGGGGGGTGGATTGTGACATCCCACATAGTCCAGGGGAGTGATCCTTATATGTATATTCCCATCTCTACCTAGCACGAGGCCTTTTGGGAGCTCACTGGCTTCGGGTTCCGTAGGAACTCTGAAGTTAAGCGAGAAGGGGACTAGAGCAATCCCATGATGGGTGACCTACTAGGAAGTTGCTCGTGAGTTCCCAAAAATAAAACCGTGAGGGAATGGTAAGCCCAAAGCGGACAATATCGTGCTACGGTGGTGGAGCGGGCCCGGGAAGTGATCCGCCCCGGGCCGGGATGTGACATAGGTGTTTGAAAATTAAGAAATGGCACATAGACCTACTTACGCGTCTGCCTTGCTCGCTTAGGCACCCGCCTAAGTCGCGACTTGCACTTAGGCAGAAAATTGATAACTTTCATTTTGCATTTTATTTTATTCAATAAAATGTAAGAGACTTGTTGAATACTTTGAAGAATAATCATTATATACTTGTTCCCCATGTGTTTATTATATAACTTTATACAATTATTTATGTTTAAGTATAAATAGACACTTATTTAAATAATATATTAATAAATTCACTTAAATCCGCCTAGTTCCTTAAGCGATATGCTCTAGCCCACTGCCCGACTAGCGCCTAGCGTCCTTTAGAACCTTGCTATCTGTTGAATTCAAATTAATTATTGCAACCGAGGAGCTTGGTTGCAAAAAAGAGCTGGGAGGGCGCTACATTTGGCTAGCCACCCTGATACCCCTTTGACCAAATAATGGTTTGGTGAGCTCTATAGAAACATAGCCCAACCATCATGAGTTGGAGATTGATTTTTTAGACCAATCAGACCTTCTTGCTTTTTTATTTTTAGCCTTCTCCATTACAATTTACTTTATACAAAACAAGAAACTGGACGCACGTCCCTCACCATTCATTCATTCATACGTATATATCCAAGGTCACTGCACTAGCTCAGAAAAATTATGTGGTATATTTTTCATTTGATTACATATTTGGTTTGGTTTTCTTAAATAGTTGGATTTCATTTGGCCTTATTAAGTTTGTACATTCAGATCGTACTCATTATCTCATATTCTTTCGTCGGAGAGAGAGAAATCAAACTAATGACTTCGGATGCAAAACTAAATGATCATAACAACTTTAAACTACAAACTCATTCACCTCTACTCTCAAAAGC